AATTTTATTGAAAAATCGAAAGTTTTTCTGTCATATAAAAAATGAATTTTTTTAGTCATTTTTTAAGATTTTCCAATTAGTCGTTTTCAATTATTTATCTCAGAAAAATGACTGAAATTTTTTTTAATATACACAGTTTTGTAGAGCTCGATGAGCTCTATCGAACCATATAGAAATATCCAATATAATCTATTCGAAGTCATAGCGTCATCCCTAGCAAAAGGTTATGCACAACGCGGTACAAAAAGGTAAGCAAATTCATATTATTTTGTATAATACGATTATATGGCGACAAATCTTGGACGTATGAAGAACTGAATAATTACAAGAGCAAAGCACAAAATTACTTATGATCATATCATAGATAGAATAGAATCGGAATGAACTATGAAAGTTGTTCTCTCTCTCGATACTATCCAATCCTATCTATGCTACAGTAACAACATTCAAAGTAATAATTGAACTTTTTTCACTTGAAAAAAGCTGTATTTTCCTGAATGAAACTGATTACAAGATATGTCTGATATTAGTTGTTTGGGTTCCACGAATTTTTCATAATTAATTCTCAATTTCTAATGAATCGTTGAACTGACTGATTAGATGGTGATGTATCGGCGATACAGAAAAAAATCCCAATCTTACAATGATCACGACAAAATCTGGTTTTATTGCCGATTTTGCGTTGTTTTTTTTCGAAAATTGTCAACAATTTTCGCGACATGGATAGATACATCGTGGTATCTTGGATCGAGGCTCAAAGTCTGAAAAAAAGATTTCTTTTACATGTATAATTCAATTTCATCAATCATTTTTTTCTTTTCGATGTTTTTTACAACATGTCACCAACAAATGCAAGGTAATTGGCGTAGATAAAACAATATAAACGAACAATAAATCAAGCATATAGCGCTGATAGAAAGGTAGTGTATCGTGAAAAGGTATATAGCGATCTAAATTACTATTTAGATTAACTAAGAATTCAATTTCTTCTACAGCTCATTTGAGACCACCAGCATGTTTCATTTCAAGTGGTATGATTCGAACGGCTTTTTCATATGTACTATTTCTCCACATTGTCAACAGTTTTGTTGTCATACTATTAGCTGAAAATGTATAATTATGAAAATCGACTGGATTGAGAAAGGATTCTAATAGAGATGATGGTGTAAATAATGATTGTCCGACACCTGAATAATCAATTGCAATTGCATTTAGAAATTGATCCATGTGTATTAGTAGACATAAAATTGGTTTTTGAAAATAAAGTCCTTCTACACTTGAACCCATATCACAATGAGTTATAAATAAATGAACTGAATTCTGTTGTAAAATCCATTTTTGTTGAATAAATCTATTTTCGATCTTAATCCGTTGATGATCAGTCAAAATACGTCGATAATAATCATTATTTAATTGATTGAATACAATTTGGTAGTTATCATAATTCGAATGACGCATTACGAATAGAACAGAAGCAATATCTGTTTGTAAAAGAAATTCGGCTAGACCATTAACTAAATTTTTCATTCGAGAAAATTCAATTATGCCTGTGCTATCAAAAGCTACATAAATAATAGAATTTGTTAGTTTTGATTTGATCCATCTTGTCAGATTATAATCAATAGTTTCGATTGATGATTCATCTACAGATGCACCAAGATATTTCGTATAATAATTCGAATATGATAATGGATAGAGTGTTGATTATAAACTAATCAATTTTAAACATTTCGTTTTTATAGATAAAATGTTTCTTAATATAAATGTATTATAAAATGGGCCAGATATTTGTGGAAATGTTCACTATCAAATGTAGAGTAAAAAGCAACATTGTAAACACGATATTTTAATTCGATCATGTGTTTTGATGAAAGTAACCAGTAACTAATTGGAAGATTTATATCTAATATAATGAATTTGGCTTCGGTAGTTTGTATTACACAAGATATATTTGCATCGTGACATAAAGCATTTATACCAGTGACCAGTGAATTAGCAATGATAATATCAAATTGTGTCCGACATTAATATATAGGGTGTCCAGTAAATGACTAGAGTTAGAAAAAATTGCATATCTCTCTGCTACGGCTCGAGCAAACAGGCTGATTTTTCTACCAATAATAGAAGCATGTTCACACTTTAAATCCATACAGACAAGATTAGAAAGAGCCTTTGTTAAGTACCACCAACGACCTCAACAAAAAAAATTTTACTTTTTCACAGATAGGAAAAGAACACTATACGGAGTAGCGCAAAAGTCACTTTGCCGCAAAAAAATTGAATATCTTCACTATGGCTCGAGCAAAAGAGCTGATTCTTTTATCAATGATAGAGGCATGTCCAAGCTTTATACTCATAAAGACATGCCTAGAGAGATCCTTTGTTAAGTCTATTGTTTTTTTTCTTATCTGTGAAAAAGTAAAATTTTTTTGTTGAGGTCGTTGGTGGTACTTAACAAAGGCTCTTTCTAATCTTGTCTGTATGGATTTAAAGTGTGAACATGCTTCTATTATTGGTAGAAAAATCAGCCTGTTTGCTCGAGCCGTAGCAGAGAGATATGCAATTTTTTCTAACTCTAGTCATTTACTGGACACCCTATATGTATTGTTTTATTCATTAGTGTGTTAATAGTTTTGCCTAAGAATGGTATCATATAAGAAAAACTATCAAATAGTGAATGATGTGTAAAATAAGCAATGCCTTCTTGTTCTTTTTTCTTTTGATCAAGAATTGCTTCTGTTCAATCATTTGTCAAAACGAGACGAAATGAAGATAAATTAGGATGTGCGTGCGTTAAAGTTAATATAAGTTTGAGCAAGCGGTTCGGTTATCAATGTAACATTATGATTTTTCAATGCTTTTGCTAATTCAAACATCGGAATAGCATGTGGACCAGCTGCACCAATACTAATCATTAATACATTGAAACATAACGATCCAGTGAGGAAATTAGTAGCCAAATATGTAGCATATAAGCGAACGCTATAACACGCGTGATTAGAAGAACGTTGTAGAAAGAGACAAAAAACACGACCTTCTCTTTTTTTGTGTTCTGTAATCTAATGCAAATGGAATCTTTTGGAGAAAAGAATGTATATGCAGCCATATAAAACATGGATATTTTGAAAAATTCATATCTCGGTGAGACTTTGTCCAAAAATTCTGAAATTTTTTTACAAGCAGATCTAATTGAGGCCTTTATCTGTGCAAAGTTTCAGATCAAAATTCGATATCTCAGCCCGAAAGACTCAGGCAAGTAAACTAAGATAGGCTTTCCATTTTCTCAACAAGTAAAAACTTACCTTTACCAATCATCCATCCACATTAAAAGCTACCCACGGTCCTTTCGTATTCGAAATCCATTACTATGCAAAACAGTACGTTTAATACTGAGAAGACGAAACCTTTCGTCATGTTATTTAAAGATAGATATCAATACGAACGAGCATTTAATCGAGAACTACAACAATGAGTTGCTCGCAGACACAGGAAGATAGAAGAACATTTGTTGATGGAGTAAGCTTTGCATGACATCAACGATCGATTTCGTTTTTCATATATGCAAAACACGAGGACAAAAATTGATTTCTGTACGTTGGCTATCCTATCGGGATCATTATTGGTTGCTGGTGAATATCTTTTTTTTTCTAATCATTGTGTACTTATTAATTCATTCGTTTACGACAGAAAAATGGTAACACCCACCATACATTTCCTCTCTGTTTTTGCTTATCACAATGTCAACCTCAACGACGTTACAAAAGAGATAGATTACTCATTTTTTTCTCAATGATTCTGTTGGATTAGTGTTCGAATCTTGTTGTCGAACTTCATCCTAATCAAGAACTGTTTCGATGAACCAAGACTTATTGTCGATGTTTCTTTAGTCCGTACAAGAACAATATGAGATGCGCATTTCTTCGACTCTATGCCTGCTTCATATCCACAGATGATGAAATCCGAGTGATTTGATCAACAAATGAATGAAAAATATAGTTTATATTATTAGACAACTTCAAAATTCAAGCTGAGCAACTAAAAGTTCTGTATCATAATTATCAATAAAGAGAAACCAAAGCTAAATTTCACTTCATTATTCAGATAGAATTGCATTTTGAACAATTCAAGAAGTCTCATTTTTTATCTGGAATTGACTTAACTATTTGTTCTCGATTGTGTCAGACTATTATTCTCTGTTTTGATGGGAATAGCAATTTAGGAAAAGAGAAACTATTTCGAATTTCTGACGACACTCCTTCAAATTATGCTCTGATATAAGACTATATTCACTGGTGAACTCCTATTGAACGATTGTGATCAGAATGCATATTGGTGTGGCACAATTGAGTTAATAACCATGCAAAGAGAACCCAACAAAATTGACGTCTAATCAGATATAACTGGCAAAAAGCATGTTCGATTCTATCAGTTTGTCACATAGATCAATCAGTGAAGAATTTTCTATTTGACAAGAATATTCTTAATCTCACTTCTATAACAAGCGGAGTTCAAAATCACTGCAAGTGACATATACAACGGATTCGTAGTATGTATTACTGCACCACCTTTCTTATTCGAATAAAAGATATTGTTCTTGTTCCTAATACAAACAGAGTAACAATCACTTGTTCAGAGCGAACAATTGTTACTGTCGACTGATTTCGATCATGTCAGATTGATGTAACCATTCGATGATTTAAATCAGTCTAAAACAATCGAAAATCATTCAAAATGAATTGAGTCTCAGTAAGCATATGCGAGTCGTTATGATTTTTCAATGATTTTTTTTCAGTCATTTCCGATAATTTTTCATTTTTTTGAAACACGTGAGTCTTATAAATCGCTATTCCTCATTGCTATCTATGCTCGATACAACTCTTTATTTGTCTGGCATACAAATAAAAACATACTACGCATTAACCGAAGATCTAGCCATAGTCATACGTTCAGCCTCCATTCTCAAATAGGGTCCTTTGTAGATGAATAGGACTGATGCGCTGATAAAAAAGACAACAACGATGAATATGGAAGCAGGCGTAAATATGTGGCTAGATGTGTAGACTGGTGCTAGTTTGATAAGATAACCATGAATGAAGGTAAAAATGGCGCCGAGCACATTACCAACACATAAGAGTAACCCAGTGGACCATTCAGCACGTACCGGATAAGTACACTCGACGGCACATTCAAACGAGACGGGCAAAAGCGGCAGTAAGAATAAACCCATGAGACTGATTGAAACAGCCAGTGGATAAAACATGTGAGGCCGAAGAATGACAATGAAATAGACAGCCGAGATACATAGACCTGCTAGTAACACTTTGAGCATCAATAGATAAGCATGCGTTCGATCCATTATCACACCTACTACAGTAGAACTAAGAATGCCTGTTACAATCAATGCTGCACCGAATATGCCTGCATCTTTGCTAGAGTATCCACTCGGTTGGATAAGTTGAGAGAGTACAGTGGTCATTGAATTGACCATAGCCAAACCAAGAGCAAAGCCGAAGAGAAGAATAAGATAGTGACGATTAGTGAGCAGACGTATGAGATCTTCTTTGATATCGATCGATTGATGATGCTCTTCCGAAGGTGACGGTGGCGACGGAGGTTCTGATCGAATGATGACAATAAGTAAGAGCGTCGTCAGCGTAGTGAGAGCAGCTTCGATCGTTAAAAGAATGAAAAATTGATGTGATGATGAACCATTAGTGACAACGAGCGATGGTAGAAGAGAGCCGATAGCACCACCCAATGGATTGGCCATAGAACACAAAGCCGTGGCAATATCACGCTGTTGTGGTGCAAACCATCGAGCCGGAAATTGTGCGGTCAAGTTCAAAATGAAAGGTCCCGCTATCGCCGGAAAAATTTGACCGATCACAAGAGCTACGTAGCCGTGACTAGGTGAGATAAGTGCGAGTAGACGAATCCATACGCCCGAGTTTAGAAGAGCTCCAACGATCATTCCAGTACGCATAGAAAACATTTGATACGTCCTTATTGCCAGAGCCGTGCCCGGCACATAGAGAAACAAAAAAATAATCGCCAAAATATTAACTTGTAACGATGTAATATTAAAGAAGGTGGCTGTTTCTGATTCAATAGGAGCAAATGTCATGCTATGAAATGCGTTAGAAAAAGCCACGAGCATGTAGACAAGCAATTGAAGCCATCGAATACGATACACACGATAACTTGTTAGCTCAGTCGTAGCCATAATTATCGGTGTCACGATCGTCTCTCTTTCAGCCATAGTCAGCGTGGTCAATGTGAGGCATCCATCGGTGAAACATGTTGCATTTATGTTATCTCGGTCAGCAATCTTATCTTTTCTTATTTTCTCTCTTGTTGAGAAAAAAACCAACGAAGAAACGAGCGATGTGTCGTTGTGTAGGGTTAGTCATCGAGCTAGTCATTATACTCGTTCGAATCTTCTGGAAACAAAAAAGTTAAAAAATGCAAATTTCAGATTTTGCTCATATTGTATAATTATATGATTTCATAAGTATCTCAGTACACTACACAACTATAGATTTAATTTGATTTCTTTTTTTAGCTTCATGAAAAATAGGCAAAATGAGGTATTATAACGATGGGTAGGTGTGGGTGTGGGTGTAGCTGATGCTATGGGCCGTTTTTCAATTCAAACGCACACCCGCACTCACCCATCCTCTCTTTCGAAATAGTGATTCAAAACTTTGCAATGATCAAAACCAATTTATTATAGTATAAGTTCATAATTTAAGATTAACGAGATCCTCATTTTTCAAGTGAAATTCACTTTTCAATTGAGATTGTCAAATAGACAAGTGAACAAAATGAGACCAATAGAATATATTTCATTAGCAGTGCTAGTCTCAAATGATAGAGAATTCCTTTCTGTACCTTTCTAACCCTTTTTTGAGATATCTCTTAGGAGTTAATGAAGAAGTGAGCATAGAATGGTGTTACTTGGGTATTATTTCGATGAATCAAAATTTATTGCTGAATATATATATATCTTTTTCTGTGTTATGTTAGAGCTGGGATCTGGTTAGGAGATGAGTGCGTATAGACTATGATCACTATTTTGTGGAAAGTTTTATTTAAAATGAACATTGTTAATCTCTGGTTTGATGAATAGCAGTAGGTTTGAGTGTCTCGTGATCTCGAAATCTGGACTCAGATTCCGTTGGAGTCTGAATTTTTCGTGACAAATCTTGGATCTTTCCTGTTTTTTCGATCGAAGACTTGGATTGAATGTTCTCGTATTTTTAATCTAAAATGGAAATAATAAAGTAAAAAAAATATTGAAATTAAAAATGTTTCTTTCAAATTTTTCATGTAAATTAATCTTAAACGAACTTGTAACTCATATTAAATATCTCATACGTACAATCACTGGACTAAAAAGGATAAAAGATGGAACATCACTCTATATGTAACTTATCACAACCAAGAAAAATAAATGAAAAGAAACAGAATAACAATGAATGATATGGATTTGATTCGATTCGATTCGATAACGAATCGTTATATGAATCAATAACACTCTCTTTTCTTTTTTGAATAAAAATTCTAACAGTCATCCGTTTCTGTATAAACTGATCATTAAATTTTATTAATCTTTAAACTGAACTTTCATGTTTCTCTTAAATCCTATTCTTATAATGCATAAATGTTGTTTATTTTTTCTAGATCTATTCTATAATTCATCCATGCATCGATGGTATCAAAGATATACAAAAACTGATATATTAGCTATTGGAATCGAAGGTGATCGTAGTTCATTATGTGGTGCTATAAAACGATTTCAACGTTATGGAATACAATCGAATGGTTTATTAACTTTAAAAGAACAATGTGCTCGTTATATTGTTCTTATTAAAAATGAACAAATTAAATGGTTTATTACTGTTTCTTTACCAGTACATTTATTTAAATACGTAACAAAGGATATATTTAATTTACAACGAGATGAATTTACATCAAATAATACAGATAATTTTGATTTATGTGAAGAATGTGCAATGAATATTAATAAAAAACAACGAATTAAATGTCAATGTCCTAAATTAGAACGTGCAATTAATAAATTAAATAAATATTTTTTTAAACGAATGAATAATGACGATAAAATAACAACATTTAATTCAAAAAAATTTGAACTTATATATAAATTACCAAATTCTAATGATGATTATTGGGATTATTATGAAGAAGCACCATTATTTTTTCTTTATCTTTTACCATGTGCATATCATGAAGAAAGCAATAGAGAAGATTTAGATGATATGGATTGTGGACCTTATCATACATGTCGATTGATTGATCAAGTATCTGTAGAAGATAAACTTCTGTTTGTTGATGTTATGCGTTTTTTTGGTGGATTTCAAAGTAAACATGAACAACCAAAACTTATTTTATATCATTGTCATGAACATCAACTTTAAAAAATTGATTGTTGTTTAGATTAAAAAAAAAAGTAGAAATAGTATTTTAGATTTTGGATTGCATATGTTTAGTACTAATAAAGATACTTATCGTAATTGAAATTGAATTTTCTATATCAGAAACTTAAAATGTTTATTTTATTATAGTAGAAAAATCAATATAACTCATTCCATAAGAGAGAAAAATATAATGAAAAGATGTTAAGAATTATCTTTCAACAAAAATCATTATTCTCTATAGAATATTTGCAATTTTCTAACATCTTATATATTCATGTCTTGCCTTAAACTTATTTTGTTAAGTGATATTCATTAAAATATTTAAAAAAACCGAAAGTTGTTGTAATGATTATTATTAGAACAATATAAAAAGTTTATAATGATTTATATTGATACTTAACTTACTTGATTAGTATTGAAATATAAATAAAATAAATTAATCAGTGATTAAGGTATTCGTAAAACTTTTCATTGTAAATGGCTTAAAAGTACTGTGAATTTTTGTAAATTGAAGTGTTGCCAAGCATATATTGTCTTCGTCACTGATCAATGTTGTGATCGTAAGCATTTTGAAAAACAAAAACATTGGCTTCAGAAGCTCATCTATCTATCTTGCTAAGCATTCTGTTGATAGTTGATATAATACATTAATAGATATATACACATCTGATATCAAAAATTTTCGACGTATTTACAACACTTCAATACTGCTTGTCTATTGATGAATTTTCACGTGTTTTGTAAATAAAAAAACAAACAAAGGAAAGAAAAAATTAATCCGTCACTTTATGCAGTGAACAATAAGTTAATTTTTCTGTTTTCATTCATTTTTTCATTTAGAGACAGAATAACGAGGGATATAATATCTTTTTATTTTCATAGTTTTTTAACACATTCCAGGCGATGTGATCCACCGATGCAAGATCAAACTTCCTTCTTGTAAGACAGTATTGATTGATATGTCTTTCTTATGAATAAAGAATTTATCTAGTCATCGATTTTTCTACAAAAATCGACCTAGTTCATACATCGTGTCAGGAAAGTCATTTGCCAAAAAATAGTTTGTATATCTCCATCTTATTTTGACCAAACGAGCTAAGTCTTTTACCTGATGATAGAGAAAAGTCTTAAGGTTTTATTTATGAGCAAAATGTTAAGTGTACACCGCTTAAAATGATTTTGATCTATTCCAACACATCACAGGATCTTTTCCGGTATTCTAACATAGAAAATATTGAAGAAGTCGAACGAGTACAATTGGCTTTTGATAGGGTATTTCCATAGATAATCAAACACAGAACACAGAAAAATTTTCGAAAGCTTTGCAAAACGGAATAGACTAAAACCTTTTAAAGATATCTTTATTTTTCATGGTTGACTGCTGACGGAGATACTCGGAAATAAATAGATTATGCTAAACTTCAAGCGTGTCGATAAGCTGTTGATTTATGAATAGAAACTTGCAATTTTCCTTTATCATTAAGAAAAAAAATTAGCTCATTGGATTGAAATACGACGGAGATATGCAATTTTTTTTTCCTTTTATAGGTGACTTTCTATACATCCGCTATATGAATTGTTTTTATTTTTCAAATGCATGTTCATTTAAAATAAACTTTTTTGTTAGACGTTCATTTGAGAGTTAAACATCTGAAGTATCATTACCATCTGATTTATTCTCGAACGATCGAAATGAGAAAAAAAAATCATTTATAGTTATTAAATTTCTACTTACCGTTCTTGACGATATTTATCTTGTCAAAAAGGGAATCTGTTGAAATCTGAGCAATATCGAAAGAATTCAAAAGTCTCTAATATGATAATACAAGATTTTGACAGGAAATTGCATATTCAAATAGTAATCGCTGCGGTTTTGATAAATAAATCAATTTTTTTAATAGATTTCACAAAAAAAGCAATAATCTACGCGCTTGCATCTGTCGTATGACGTATGAACAAAGGATTTCGAGTAATACATGGAATAAGGTGAAATACCGACGAAAAGCTATAGTTGTCACGATCGCCGTTTCCGATGCTGCGTAGACAATCACTGTAAAAGGCCATCGTTTACTGCATTATTTAGATGTTTTGTGATGTGTCGTAAACGACCATCGTAATTTTAGCCGTTTTCATACCGCTTACGGGTCTTTATATTCGACCCAAGTATAATTACTTGGAAATAAGAAAAGCGATAAAATTACTTTGTCATATAAAATTTTTGTTATATTATTAAGTAAAATGGAATTTCTCTCATTTTATATATTTATCAAATATTTAGTATTCTTATTATTATTCTCATTTTTCAAAAATGTATAAAATGCACAATTATTGTCGATTATTAATTCTCAAAAAAGCGCCATTGATAGAACGTTTAAGCGTTGAACTTTTTATAAAAAGAAAAAATACTATTTGTTGCTTATGCAATGATCGTACTTTTAAAAAAGCAATTTAGCTAATCTTCTATTCATTTCATGTGAGTTAAATGATTATTTACTTTTTTTGAGTTGATGATCACATTCTCTACATAAGTATGTCAGAAATCTAGGTGAAGAAAGAGCGAAATATAGAGATTTAAGTTCCATGTCGAACACAAAGGATAGATAATTAGCTATATTAGAACAGCTTTTCACGTTCAAATCTTCATTTTCGAGATAAAAGCAAAACTAGAATAATGAGCTAAAATTCGAACACAAAAAACTACATCATTACCAACGTTGGGATAAATTTAGCTTAAGAATCCGGACGTTGGATATGAAAAACAAACTTTGGAGTTGCATTCTTCGATTTAAGCAATAAGATCTTCACTAATTTAAGAATATTTTCTTGTTGTAATATCCTAACTTCAGGGCAGAAAAATAAAATCTTGTTTATTTGTCTAAAGATCTTTAGTGATCATGAATCTAATAAGAAAATAATCATATACTTATTTGCAAAGAATTTCTCTCTCAAAAAGAAAAGTCATTTGAAATTGAAGCAAAAAATATATTTACAAATGCTTGTTTATTTATAAAATGACTTAAACAACAAAGCAGCTGGGATGAGATTAAGTTTGCGTGAATAATCTGATAGGAATATACCAACAGAGAAGAGAATATAGCAAAGGAAAGACAAAAATATAGGATGTGCTATCCATGAGTTACAGAACGAAGAAAATATACAATGGAGAGATACCGCACCTGACATTACGAATTTAGTGTGTGAAATAACAGATTTTAGTTATTTATGTTTGAGAGCAAGATTAGGAATCATGTGTGATTAATGTCGAATTCTTTTTTAAAGCTCTTGTACACTGTCATCGAAACGAATCATCTGAGCTTTCGATGGTTTCCCCATACAGTCCACATAAAACATCATATAATAAGCGGGTGGCAAATTTTCTTTGCGCGAATTAGGTGTAGAGAATCGAATTTGTTCCTTTTTATTATATTGATCGAATTGTAAATTGAATAAATGTTGTCCTCCATCCCAACCATGAGTAGCCCATGGTAGTTTATTCAAAACAAGAGAAGCTTTGCGGTGACCACAACTACGACTAGGTAAATTGGACAATTGCACAATGTATGATTGGTTGCTGTGAAGTAAATAAAAGACTTGATTGGCAATTACTTTTCGAAAGGAATAGTTAGCATTCATCGCTTGAAGAGACACTATCTCGGTACGACGTTTACCATCAATGAATAAGTAAGGTGGACTAAATATCTCGGCTACCCACAGTTCTGTGGGCACAACAGAAGATCCTTTCAAAGCTCGTCCCAGAACAAGATCTTCTACAGTAAAGTAGAAATCAAGATCGATGAGATTCAGATCAGGCAGTGGCTGTGTGCCACTGCTCACATTATGGAATGAGAATGGTTTTGTTCGCTGGTGTATGGTTGCTCGACCAGCATTTCCTCCCGATAGCCATACCCGGCCATCGGGCATAAGTAGGGCTGTGGTATGATAGAGCCTGGCTTCAAAGTGTTCGTTCATGCGTTGCTTTTCGTAGCCGAGAAATTGATTAGTTTGTACGGAAAAGCGAGGAGTGAGTAGTAATGGATAATGAATAGAACCATAGAAGTCGTAGTTACTACCGCCAATGATCAGAATTTGACTGGTGGGAAGAATGAGAGCATATTGATTTGAACGATCACCTTCAATGTTGTTACTGAGAAAATTGGGATCCAGCGTCCAATGACCGCCGTTAGGTTCATATTTCGATTGAATAAATTGTTCGAGCTTTCGACTTCCCCGTCCACCAGCAAAAAAATTGTCCGGATTAGAGTCATTGTACAATAGAATTCCGGGAGATACGGGTTGGCCACCGAGCAAGTTAATTAGACCACTGTTAGGGTCAAGAAAGGTCGTACCATAAGAGGTGATATTGACAAGACGATCTGGTCCACGTGAAAATGAAATCTGATCTTTGCCTCGCAATGTAATCCAGTAAGTTCGATTCGTACGACGAATGAACGCAGCATCTGTCGTCCGTGCACTTGTCCAATCACCCTCACGTGTCAAGAAGATGCGTCCATCTGGATTCAAGTAGTTTTGCGGATAGAGTTTAAATGCATCGTACTTGTTGTCTTCAATACAGCGCTGATCACATTTCCATCCTTTAGTGGGCTTGAAGTAGGGATTAATTAATGTGGTAAAGGGACTGTTCGGCAACGACTTGACATCCACTGCAGACCAGATTAGTGTCTTAGGATCGAAAAACTCCACAAAATGATTCATTTCAAATGCGTACATTGATGGATAGTTCACATCGAAGCCTACAAATCCGCCAAACACCATCATTCGGCCATCTAAAAGTGGTAGAATACTGGCATACCACCGTCCTCGTTTCATGAAGCCCGCAAATAACCACGGATTATTTTTATCATCGGGTATCTGTCGCCAGTCGACGCGAGACCATGATATACTAAGTTCTTTCTTCCAATCAAAAATAAAAGTGGAGCAATGTCCCGTATCGAATGGATGGTAGTATTGTGTACCACCAACGAAGAGAACATTTCCGTTGG